TTGGTACTCGTACATTTGCAGCTCGCAAGTTGAGAAACAGCCTCGTGGCGGAGAAGCGGTTGTCTCGCTCTATCTTACGCCGCTGCTTGGCGAGTCGGTACAGAAAAAAGTGCGCAGCCGCAAATCGCGGCTGCGTGTGTAACTCGCAACGCGACTCCTCCACGGGTATTTTAACACGTTCGTCAATTTCTTTTCGTCCTCTTGATACGTTCAACCCCCCCCTCCCCCTCCCTCCCCTCCCCCCGTTTTCACCGACATATTTTTCTACTTGATTCGTTTCTCTAAAACTCGATTCTTCATTATGTATATCCGTTCTTTAATCGTAGGGGATGTATATCGATATTTTTGCGAATTTATTAACGAATACGGATCATAATAACTTCGTATCATTCTTCGTTCCTTTTTCTCTTTCAATACGTAGAAATCAGTTGGATAACGAATAAGAAAAAAATTAATAATAAAAGTAAATTGCAGAAAGGATTTATATATATATACATATACACGATATATGTACATCGCGTCACGAGTCCGTAACGTAATCCATATGGCTCTATTTTAAAAACTTGAACAGAAACTCGGTGCCCCTTTAACCCGCATTTTCCTTTATCAAAATAATATGAGAAGCGATAAGCGACTGTCGCAACCGCTGGAACCGCACATGACGTCGTCAATGGGTAACAAGTTTGCGAGTAGTTGCACGAGCTCGTGGTGACTTTGCCAGAACGAGTGCGCAGTAACGCGATGTAAGAAGTAGCGGGTAGGAGGTAGAGAGGGAGAGGGTGTGTTCGAGAAAGAAACCCGAGGAACGAGGGCGTATAAGCAAGGGGAGGTGGCAGGTTTAAGGAAAGGTAGAGAGAAGGAGAAGTTGGTCACAACCGTGAGAACAAAGGGGCGAAAATAAGTGCCCTTTTTGGAGGGTGATCGAGGGTGAGGAGCAAGAAAGAGGAAGACGAATCGGGGGAATGCGTTTGTGTAGGTTTCGAAGGAGATAAAAAGAGTGGATGACTGTTAGGAGGAGAGAGAAAGAAGTCAGGCGATTCGTTCCTTGCGGGTTAAGGAAAGAGTGGGAGAATCGGAGCGAGAGAGAGAGAGAGAGAGAGAGAGAGAGAGAGAGA